GCCCGGTACCATCTCCCCAGGCACCTGCCATCACTTGGGAAGCATCCAGCCTCTGCCTTTACTCCAGTTCCCACTATTGATGAGGTGTGAGATTTATCCAAGGGCAGATGAACAGCCTCGGGCATGCTGCAGCCTGACAGGACATCTACACACCACGTAGATCCATGGCTCTGCAAAAAAGTCAATTGAGCAGAAAGCAGCTTTGATCCAGTTCAGACGCTAACGTAGTGGTCCAGCCACCATCTCCTCAGCTGATTTTACATTGGGAAAAGCCCTGTGCTGGGAAGGGAGGAAGAGAGGGAGAGAATGGGGTCCTGCAGGAGACATAGCCATTTGTGGTGACTTTAGATTTTACCTGGTATTTCCCCACATGGTCACAGCATCAATATGTGGCCAATGCCAACCTCATGAATTTCAACAAGGCCAAGTGCAAGCTCCTAACCTGGGTCAGGGCAATCCCAGGCACAGCTACAGGTTGAGTGAAGTGGTTCAAAGCAGCCTGAGGAGAAGGACTTGGGGGTGCTGATCGATGAGAAATGGAACATGAGCCACTTACAGGCTGAGAACATTGGGGCTGTTCAGCCTGGAGAAGAGAAGCTGTGTGGAGACCTCAGAGCAGCTTCCAGTGTCTGAAGGGAGCTACAAGGGTGCTGTAGAGGGACTTTCATCAGGGATTGTAGTGATAGGACAAGGGGTGATGTGTTTAAACTAAAACAGGGGAGACTTAGGTTAAATACAAGGCAGAAGCTCTTCCCTGTGAGGGTGCTGAGGCGCTGGCACAGGGTGCCCAGAGAAGCTGTGGCTGCCCCATCCCTGGCAGTGTTCAAGGCCAGCTTGGACACAGGGGCTTGGAGCAACCTGTTCTAGTGGAAGGTGTCCCTGCCTGTGGCAGGGGTTAGAACTGGAGGAGCTTTAAGGTCCTTTCCAACACAAGCCAGGCTGGGATTCTATGTTCCCAGGCAGTTTTCAGCTTAGCAATGCCAACGTGCAGCAGCCTTTGGAAGCAGGAACACTGCAGGGGAGTGGTACCAAGCCAGACAGGGTGCAGGGCTGAGCCCCTCAGAGACCTGAGCAGTCACAAACCCTGAAACAGCACTGAGTTGGCAATGTCTATTGGTGTTGCAAGTGATGTGCATGCACAGCTTGGGGAATTGATCTTAGATCAAACACAGCTGACAGAGGGGGAAAAAACATCAGGAATGTTCACTACTTCTCATTCACCGACAGTTTGCGAAATGATTTCCCAGCTGCTGACACCAATGGATGTGCCAAGACCTGCATGTTCCATCTCCAAGGGCTGCAGCCCTCATCACCTCAACTTTGCTGATGATTACAGGCAGATGAGTGTGAATTCAGTGCTTTCTATCATGTTAAGGCTTTTCCTACACAAGCTGCAGCTGGGAATGCAGTACTACAAAGAACATGCTTCCATGGAAGATTCCCTAGGCAGGGCATGGCCTTAACACACAACTTGAAAGTGAAACCCATGGTCCCTGACAACACACGGGTCTGCAGTTAGGGTTAAACATGTGCCTGGTGCTTTCCTAAATAAAGTAACAGAAATTCCTCTCTCCTAGGCCTGAGAACTGGAGGTAACAGGGGAGTGATCACAGGAGCTGGGCCACACCAGGAGGTTTGAACATCCAGGGCTGGTGTTTGCCTCTGGACCCCTCCCCAACACCAAGGGAAGAATCTGGCATAGAAGAAAAACAGAATTAGGAGCAAAACTAATCATCTCTCTTCATGCCCAGGCAAGGCAACAGGTAGGAACCACAACCCATCATAGCCAAGGGAGGGGCTGTCCACAGCATGGGGCACAGGAACATGCATCTACCAGCCAAGGGAGAGACAGACTGATCCCACTGTATGCCCAGAGCAACCCCAGCTCTGGTAGAGGGGCCATGCATTGCAGCAGCCGTCAGAGCCTGAACATCATGGAACACATTTAGCTGTGTTCCCATCCTTAGGGACACCTTTCTACTTGTTCACATGCACACTGGGAGCAGCAGTGAGCAACTGTCATCACCAGCATGCTCCTACCTGCACCCTGGAGGCAACGCTGCTCAAGACCTGAGGCCAGGCTTTGTTCACAGGCAGGCTGGGTTTACATTGAGCTCCAGGCTTGGGTTCTTCCTTGCTCACCTGCAGAAAAGTCAGGCAGGACTGCCCACGGTGCACATTCTACATGCCAAACCATTTTGCTCTTCAACCTCAACCCAAAAGCCTGCAGAACGGCTATTTCTATGCTGGAAAGGAGATTCTTGGAGTTCAACAACTGCTGCCAAAGTCAGCTTGCTCTGGGCTCCCAAAGCAGTGCAGGAATCTTCCCAGGCAGCCCAATGCCAGGAGACTTGTTCACAGGCTCAGCAAGGACAAGCACCAACAGTGGGGCCAAGAGCCAAGTGGAGCCAAGAACATACGTCCCAAGCCAAAGTTAACCTGAAGCTGAAGTTAACCACAAGGGTGACAAGCATGTTTGGGGAGACATGCTTTCGAGGATGGGGAGCACAACAGTCAGTGCAAAGGGAGACACCTATAAAAAGCTGTTAGAGATACACCATAAAGCTGCTGAATCCAACCACAAGAATCCATTGTGGTGGTAGATGTTGTGTCAGGTCTCTGCATCCAATAGCCCAGAAACTGTGCCAAGAGAAATGGCTAGACTGACCCTGTGTGTCAGTGCAGATGTCCCAGCAATGTTAAGCTCAGGCTGGACGAGAAAACAGCAGAGCCTTGCAGAGCTCTGCAAGAGAAGATGCATTCTCTGATGATCAGCAATGTGCTCTGGACCATCATTACCTCCACTGCCTTGGTCTGAGCACATCGGTGCACTTTAAGAGGTTATTTTAAAAGCTCTGACTTCTTGATGGTTTTCTGGGTAAAGTTGAACAGTAAATCCCCAAAAATGTATGGATCCCTTTTCAAAATGAAAAAAAGCAGACAGAAGGAGGGATCAAAGACTTTACCTCACCACTCTGGGAAGTTATCAACAAATTCCAGCCCAAATATTAAGCACACAAAAAGCACCAGCATTTCTAGCATAAAGGAGAAATGAAGGCAGAGGGCTCTGCTTATGCCCCTGCACTGTTGGGTGTTGGACCTTGCCAACAGACCTCCGTCAGGCCATAAGCTCTGTATTTTCAATACAGGGTTTTCCTGCCCTTAGCAGTCTTGCGGCACCACACAGTTACAATTCCCAAGGAAAGAGAGGAGAAACAGGAAACATGGACAATACGCTGGTCAGAGGACAACTCCAAAGGCCCATCTATCCTTCAAAGAGGAGATGACACCATGACACCATTTTGCTTACCCCAAAAGGCCAATTTGGAACATGTCTGGCATACAGGCACCCACCAGCCTGGGCAGTGGAGAGCACCAAGGGCTGGTGAGCCAGGAGCTGGGGACCCCATTGCAGGCAGTGCCTTGCTAACAGACACAGCACCAAGAGGAGCAAACACAACAGGCAGCCCCAGGCACTGGTAACAGGGTCCACAAGCAGCCCTAGACCAGGTCTAGGGTCCCCCATGGAGCACAATCAATGACAAAGGAAGACACAGGCAGAAGCATGTCTGGAAACAAGGCTACAGAGTGGAGGCAAAGCCAGTCAAGAGACAGGACACAAGCATACAAGGGGCCCTACCAAGAAACAAGATATACCCAGCACAGGTCCATGGTCCATCCAGGAGGCAAAGCCAGAGGCAGAGCTAGAGGCAAGCACCCTACACCAAAGCTCAGGAGTGGGGCTGAGGGTGCAGGGCTGAGCTTAAAAGGGCTCCTGGGATGAGGGTGTGTGTGGAGGTCCCAGGTGAGGCTGATCAGGGCCATAAAGGCCCATTAATGCTCTCGGAGGCCAGACAGGGTTCAGTAGTGGTTCTCTATCACCACATCCTATCCCTAGGGCTTCATCACAGATGAAGGTGTTCC